TTATTAAGGCAGAAATACAAGATATTTATATAAAATACATCAATATGAAATAGATATTTAATATAGTAAAGAAAAATAAGAAATATAATATAAATAAGAAATTATAGATTGCTAAGATCGCTAAGAAGTTAGAGAAATGATAGAAATCATAAAAATTAGAGAAAGTTGAGATCTATGATTGACAGAATCATCATTCGCTAATTATAATTAGCGCAGTACTAATGCGTCATAACTAGACTATCACTAACACCGTTGTGAAGAGGAAATTCATAATTTGGATCATCGATTTGTTTTGAGTCATATTCAATATAGTGCATATATTTGAGTTGATTCAAACGAAAATTAATGTCCTTCTGGTTTTGCTCATATTTGATGATAGAATTTTTTAAAGAGATTATTTTATCATCAATGAGAGTGAGTTTATTTTTGATATGGTCCAATTTCTCTTGGATAAATTTAAAAGTGTCGGTAGTATTTAGAAGAATTGTTTGGGGCAAAACATTATTGTTATTCTTTTTATCGTTAGAAGAATTGTTATCGTGGGATCCATTTTTTTCATTCTGTAATACTTGTGAGAAAGATCTATGAGGACCTGGATTGGTAGATTGAAAGGATCTTGGCGGTCTATACTGCTCTGGCTTGAAGCAATCATACAAAGGTTTATAAGGATTAGCTGGTTTACGATTAGTACAATCCTTTAGTTCATGGTCAGGGTCACCACAAATTCTGCAATGTTTTTTTATGGTTCTATCCAGTAAAGGACTTTGCCTTTGAATTTTTGGGATTGATTGGCAGCAAAGGTGAGATCATCATTGTTGGCAAAATTTACAAAAGCATACAATCGAAGGTGGTATTGCTGGTCACGTGATATAAAACAAGATTTTGCTTTGATATGAACGAGAAAATCAATAAGTTGTCTCTGATCAGGATTATAGGGTAACCAGTAAGTTTTAATTCAAACTGTTATCTGAGAGCAACTTGTGAAGGGTTGAGGTCAGTCGGTTCAACTCTCAAGAAGTTTTTCAAAAAGGAAACAGATCACACTTGATCATAAAATTGTTTGATAGATTCGGGATTTTCAAATACAATAAAGGCAATTTACCAGGGTCTTCTGATAATCATGAAGAAAAGAGAGATCTTTCTGTATTTGATAAAATAATTTCGTATTACATCTGATTTGGTAAAAAGCGGAATATCAAAGACTTTGATCATTTTGCCTTTTTTGGCATCTTGTCGTTGTTATTTCACAGTAGGATCAACGATAGTAAAAATAGGATTGTGTTGTGTTTCCTGCATTTTTGTGAAAACATGTTTTAAGGAGTCCAACGATTCGAAATAAATAAAGAACTTTCTAAATTTGGAAATATATGTTGAGCTTTGATACCTGTTGAAGTGGATAAACAAGGAGTTAATAAAAGTGCGCTTTTCAGCCACAGATTTGCCTTTTACGTCAGATGCATTATTGGTCACGTAGAAACACGTGGGAGCAGTGATGATATTGAAAGAGACTTCTTTTGGTTCTTAGTTACGTGGTTTTTCTGTTTCTTCGACTTTATCAGATCATAACTGTCATTGTTTGCCTTTGTTGGTTGGAGGGAGGATGTAATCGAAACCAGTATTGTCAAACATATTATCTTCATTAAAGTTTGCGTGCATAGAATCATTAGTAGTTAGTTTCAGTAGTGATGTAGGAGCAGGGTTAATAGTGGTATCTGAAAATGTATCAACATTCATATCAAGGGATGGAGCAACAGTAGAGAAGATGTTGGTAGGTAGTAAAATCATTTTAGAAGGAATATCGTTGCTGAGAATTATGTTTTCAATAACATTATGAATATCTGTAGTTATTTCTTGGTCATTAGGTAGTGGTGTCATTTTTTGCTTTTTTAAAATGAAAATAGTTTCGTCGTTTTTAAGTGTTTGAGAAGTAGAGCTAGAAGTTTTACTGTCGTTAGAGGAATTAGTTCGTTTGTTTTTATTGTTAGTTCTATGATTTTTCTTTTCTAAAGTTGAACGAGTAACAGGCATTATTTTTATTGTCGATCTTTTTCGTTTGTTTTTGAGAAGTTTAAAAAAGAGTTTTTTTATTTCTAATAATTGTTTTATTAAATAATATTGCTTTAAAAATTGCTATTTTTCTTAAGATATTTATTATTGAAATCTGATTGGTTTATTTTATTATTTATATTGATATTGATCAATATAATATACAAATATCATTACATAAAATTTTCATAATATGAGAGGCAATCAGTAGAAAAGAGGGAAATCTAAAATTTTTGTTAATTTTAATTATTAAGCTAATTTTGTGTACATGACTGAGATCAGCCAAGTGGTCCAATAATATAAATTTTGACCAAAATTTAGATTTCCTCCTTTTCTACTGACCGTCTCCCATATATCAATAATTTGATATACTGATATTTTTTTCTCAAAACATCTGCATCATTATATAGATGTTTGACTGTATACCTTTTTCAATTTATCATATCAGAATTAATATGACTGATACAATTATGAATGTGTTTTATGAATATGAATTAATTAAAAAGGCATTAGCTTTAATAATAGATAATGCATCTGCTATGATTTTTATGATAATAATGTATAAGGTGAATTAGAATTAGAATTTAACAATCTTGAATTTGCTCATTATCAGTGTGCTGCTTATGTATTAAATCTTACTGTTATTCAAGAAATTAAATTGAATAATAATTCAGTTATTAAAATATGAAACGTAATATCTTATATCAAAGCATTATCTTCTGTTAATAATGTATTAAAAGCATTATATAATGTTATAAATCTTAAATATGTAGCAATAGAATTAAATATTAAGATTAAATAGAATTCTACTTATTATATATTAAAAAAATAAAAAATAGAATCTGCTTTAAATCTACTTGCTACAGATGATAGAAGTATTTAACAAAGATATCCAATAGATTCTGATTGTCATAATATTAATGTAAGTATTAATAATATTATTTTTAGAATATACAGCATTTAATGTTTTATATTTATATTATAAAAGGATATTTTAATTGCATTGAACCAATTGAATATACTATACTGTCTATCTTCTTTTAACATCCAGTTATTCAACAGTGTTGAATAACTGGATGTTAAAAGAAGACAGATAGTATGTTCAATTGGCTCAATGCAATTCAAAACTACTAAAAATCAGTTTTAGTTAAACAAAACTAGTTTGGTAGTTTCAGCTATTAAATAAACTAATTTAATATTTAACTAACTAGTTTTGGTTATTCTAAACTACAAAATTTTAGTTTCAGACTTCAACACTATTCAACACATGATAACATTCAATTTGTATTTCTTGGTATTCAAGAATAACTTATGAGTTATATGAATAATGAGGAATTTTCTCAAAATTTATTAGCTAATTCTATTTATCAAAAACTCAATGAATATTAGCCAATAATGAGCTTCACCTCCCAAATTTCAGCTGTTTTAGATCCACGAATGAAACCATCTAGTTTTTAGAAAAAGAAAAAAAATGTTATTAAAATTTTAATTAATAATTTGTCTGGATATATCTTTTTATTATTATATCAATAACAATGGTTAAAGATGAATTATCAAATACTTGAGAAATTTTTAAAAGATTGTGTAATTCATTGAGTTCTTTAACAAATTCAACTATGATCTCATCATCATCTAATATTGCTAGTGATTTTAAAAATATCTTTTGCGTGGTTTGAAGGATAATATAGATCCATTATTATGGTGAAAAAATGTTAAAACGAACAGACTAAAAATAATTTTTTTAAAATTCATAATTTCAGTAACAATAATACTAACCTTTGCTTTAATTAATTTATTCAAGGATATGCTTAATAGTTGTATGTAGTCAGTCAGAATCCGTGTGTAGTTAAACTTAACCTTATGAATAATTTAAACATTCTTTCATATAAAATATTCTATTCTCTAATATTTAAAATGTAGATTTTTTATTCTTTTTAATATTTAAAGTGCGCGAAAAAAGCCAAAATATATTCAAAAGATACATATTACACGAAAGTATAATAATCCAAACATGATATTCGAGTACAGGTCAAAAAAAAACGGACAGGAACTTGTGTCATCACGCCCACTTGACAATCACGTGGTACCGCGTGGATTTAATAATAGCATTTAGGCATTACGTTCAAAACAGTATATAAATTTAATGGTTTAATTCAAATATTTACTTTTTTATATGATAAGAGTACAAAACCCTGCGCGACAACACCTTGCAATTAAATGACGCGATACAACAAATAAATCAAATGAACTAGATCAATCCGAATTAGAAAAGTTGTACGAACATTTTATCTACTAATTCTTTTATTAATGACAAATTAAAAGGAATTCAAACAAAAAAACGCATTGAAATAACTTCAGCTATAGAGCAATTATCTGATGATAAAATGTCCCGTCCATAAATAGTCATTCCTAATTATCTTCAAGAATGTTTTTGCAATTCATTATTTTTTTTATTATAATTTTATTAATCCGGAATTACTCTCAGATACACATCCCACATATACATGTTAAAAATCACGAGCACAATGTGGGTAATTATTAATTCTTGCCTATTTAAGTTTGCTTACAAAAATAAATAGCTCATATACTAATGCCTGCGGAACACACCGATTTTTGGTTTGTATAAACTATCAATACTAACCCAACAATAACTCCATGATCCATGATCCAGCTCAAATCATCAATATTCTGGATAAAAAAGTCGGTTATCTTATACGAGACATGCAGTGTCGAAATAAATGAACAGTTAATGACATTATCTTTAGTAAAAGCCCTTCCGAAAATTCATCTTGTGCTTTCATCGTTAATAAATTTTTCGGGAATCCTGAACGAAAAATTGGACATTAGCTTTTAAGCTCGGAAGTCAATATAGTTTTATTGCAGCACTTCGTAATGAGTATGTTATGTAACATAATTTTATTTTAATACTTTTGAGTATTAATTAGTTTTATCTCATGCAACAGAATAAAAGCACAAGCCCAAAATATGGGTAAATACTATGAAGATTCTTTATCATAATCGAATTTATTATTATTTTTTAACGTAGCTCTTAGCTAATCTGTTGTAGTGTATTTCTTTTTATCAAAATTTACTGCGAGAAAATGCTCTTCTATGAATTGATTTGTCTAGTAAGTTAATAATAAAATATAATGCTAACATGCTACAATGCAATAACAAAAATTCTTTTACTTAAATTTTTCTTCAATACTCATTGATAAAACTTTATCCCTTTCGTGCTTTATATTGAAGTTCTCATAGCTCCAGAGTAAATCCTCCAGCTGCAGCCGCGGGAATGCCATTAAAATCTCCATCAAAAAGCTCTGCTGCAGGAATGTTCATTTGGTATGTGAGAATAACATCCATATTACAAGGAGGATAATTAGCATCATTTTCATTGCGTTCGAAAATCATTAGGAACACATTTACAGTATTAATGATATAGGACAGTATGTAGCGCAGTCCCAAAAGATATTATCTACACGAAGCCCAAATATTTTAATAATAAGCACAATCTTAATTGATGTTTCTTGAGAAAATAAAGTGCTACTTTTTGATATCAAAAAGGTACTGCGTGTAACCAACTTCAATTATCATCGTTGGATACGCCCCTCCAAATTTGTCCATACACCAAGTCCTGGTGATTCCATCTGTCCACCAATGTTGAGATTATTGATGATACCATTTTACGAGGGTTAGAAGGTACTTCGTATGCCTTAATGTTCCATCATGTAAATATATGCGAACTGGAAAATATGGGTTATCGTCACAATAATTGAGATATACTTCGAGCGAAACATTTTTTTTTAAAGTAATTTCGCTTGATTCACTGTATACTTAATATAGGAAAGTGAGCAAACATTTTCCGGATAAATTAATATCTTTAGAGATAAGTCAGACCCTTTTCTGCTTTCTCTCTTGTATAGTTTGTGAGGATGTTGGAGTCGAAGTAGATAGGAAAGTAGCTTGGGAAACCGGGAGCGAGACGAACGAGTGAAGTAAGAATGATAACAATTTTCTAAACCCGAGAATGACAGTTACATCTCGAGGCCATAGGATTATATATTTTAATTGTGATCGTTTAATTTTATTGCTTAGATGAATCGTATGATATGTAGATTATAATATCACAGTGTTATTCTAGGAAAGGTTCAGCTGTGGGAGGGAGTCCAGCGAAGTTTAATCTTTTTAATACCAAGTAAAATGAAGTAAGATGATGGAAAGCAGGGTTTCAAGGTAGGAATTAGCCGAGCCCTAACCCAAAAATATGATGGCAGTTCCTTTCCAGTTACTCAATATTTTTATCTAAAACTTAGTATTTCTTTGCTAAAATCATTAAAGTCCCCGGTATACTAAAATTTATTGGTGGATCGGTAAAAAATTATCATATATTTCAAAACTTTATTTTTTAAATATATAATATATATATCAAATTTTGCTTTATATATAATAAATCATCTCTATATGTTTAATTATTTTTTGTTATTTAAACTTTTTGATCTAACTTAATATTTAATTATTAATGATCTTAATAATCTTTCATTGTAACTAATACATAAATAATATATTTATTGTGAATTAGAATTTGATAATAGCTTAAAAGAAAGTGAATTAGAATAATCTAGCAATTTGTTTACCAAAATTGCTTGCAATAGATTTTTGAATATAGCTTTTTTATATACGGAATCACTTTAAACAATTAAATGTAATTGATTTTTTTTTAGTTTAAAATGATCGCTTATTTGATTGGCTATTAAAATGTTCAGATGAAAAAATGACAGAAACTTTGGAACATTAAATTCAGGTCGTTATTACCACTTTGACGCCGATTTTACTCGTCATATCTTTCTTGGATATGAAAAGGTCGATTTGTTCACGACGGCCACTTTCTTTGACTTTTCGTTTAAACCACTTCATTATTTTTAAGTATTTTTCTATCTAAACGGATTTCCCGAGGAAGAAAGAATTTTCGGATCATGGTTTCTATTTTTAGACTTAGAGTTAAGCTTTTATGCAATGGGTTGGATAGGGTCCTTCATATATAGCTAAATCAATGCAAGATAACCTTTCCAACAATGATAATTATGACATATTGAGCATGCATATTGTAATATGCATATTGTCTAGCATTAAATTTTTTTTTTGTCTATGGTTTATGGTAAATATTAACTTATTGAAAGAAAGAAGAATTTAAATTTGATTATGTGGTTAACGAATTAAAATTTCGCAAAATTTCTTTTTTAAACTTACCAATTATATAAACACATATTCAAAAGTATTATGAGTAAGGTAAAGTATAAGGGCTGAAATGAATAATTAAATTAGAACATATCATTTGATATTGTGAAAACAAATAAGGTGAATTATATCCTTTTTTATATAATACATGCAAATACACGATCGACAAAATGAATTTTATATTCAAAATGAATTCTTATTTGGTAAAGATTCTAAATTCTTTCTTTAAAAAAATTTAGTTTATCTAATGATGAGTATTTTACACACGCCTCATAACTGTATTTATTAAAGTAGGCATATACCAATCGTAATGCATTTAATTACTACATAATTATTCAATTTATTTATCACCTAATTGGCTAAATCTTCTAACCTTTTTGCTCGATATAAATAAGTTCACATTCATTAAACCTTATCCATTTTCTTATCATCATCTTTTATTCTGTTAAAATTTAATTTAATCAGTAAAAATTATACTAATTATACAAGATCACGTGGAGACGAAAAATACTGGCACACCAATGTCACGTGCAGTTTAACAAAATTTATCAGGACGAGGCGATTGAATTTATATTTTCCTCGGGAATTCTTCCTTTCAACATACCATTTAAAAAAATATATATATCAAATCCTTTATTTTTTGATGGACTTTACAAATCCTGGTGTGATAGTTCAACAATTAGAAAATTATTCTAAGGATCCTTTAAATAATTTAGATAGTATAATTAAACTTTTAAAACAAATTACTTTTACGACTCAAAGTAACTTGACATACAGGTAAGCTGAAATCATATATTATTTTATATTATTTTGAGGTTAGATTTTATTCATAATTCATTGCTTTTATTGCTTTTATAGGGAGACTTTAGGGAACATATTTAAGTTCTGGAGAGTTATAACCAAACTTTGGGAGTGGTCAAAAGAAAAGTTTTTAAAGGAGGAACTTATCGTCTTGCCTATCGTATTAGAGCTCGTTCGACTTTTTCGAAATATTGTCGCAGAAGTTTCCGAAAATCAAAATCAAGCTTTGTACGTTTAATAAAGTTTGTAATGAAGAAGTTAAAATCAAGATATATTAAACTTTAATTATTATATCTTTTCCCTAGGGAAAATAAATGGAATAAAATTATCGAGGAAATTTTGTGGTACTCTATGTTAAAATTCAATTTTGAGGCTGATAACAAGCGTGTGTATATATATAAATTAATCGATTATCCAAAAAACATTCTAATGATTTTGAATTAACAATTATTTGGATTCGAAGTTGTTACTATTATAAGGTTCGGATCGCAAGCGTTATCCAATACTATAACCGGGAATGCAGATGCTCAAGATCTAATTTGGTCAGATTACATGAATCGAAATGAATCTAATGATATTTTAAGGTAAATAGATCTTGCACAAATGTAAAAATTTCAAATATATAACTTATAAAGATAACTTGTTTATAATGCATAGTGAGCTTGTTAAGTGTGATGATAGTGTTGTCTTGACGGGTGCTTTAATCCTTGTATATAATTGCGTGCATGAAAGTGAATATCGAAGGTAAAATATTTTAAAAAAAAATTTCTATTCAATCAAGAAAGTATATATTTCGACTAATCCTTTCTTTTTCTTTTTTTTTTTAAAAAAAAAAAAAAAATAAATAAAGTAAGGTATTAATCGAATCACAACCGGGAATACGCCTTATAAAACTTTTATTAGAACGAGCTGAAGATCTTCTTGAAGATGAAAGCTCCCAAAATTTTGAATTAATGTTGTTTATATTATTGCTTTCGATTTATTAAAATCGTAAAAGAATTATTTATGAATTCGATTTATTATTTAATTTACATAGATACGCGTTAGTTTCGCGTTTAATAGACTTTAGTCTTTTCCCATTATTATACGATTCATTAAATCAACCACAAAGGTAGAAAGAACCATTTCGTTCGTTTTAATCTAATACTTCCAAAATGTTAATTTTTAAAAAAAAATTTCAATTTCTAGACAGGTTCCAACGCGACATCAAATTATACTACTAAAAATTCTTGATTCAAAGTTTTTTTCATCATTAAAAATCGACGAATTTTACATTTCCTTATGCATTTGTATTATAAGAGTTTTCAATTCAATTTGTCATCAAGTCATATATTCCATGCTGCAACTTGTTGAAAATGATTCCATAATACCTTCAAGTCGCGAAAATCGACAAGAAATGGATGATTCGCGCCTATTATATACCGGATTAGTGTTGTTCCTGCAATGTATTGGAAAAATGAGTCAAGAAGGAGATAACAAAATACGCGAATGTTTATTCAAGGAAGGGATTATCGCTTCCAGTATATGTGAGGTTCATTTTTATAAAATTTTAAAAAAAAAAGAAGTTATTGATTTAATCATTACTTTATTAGCTCTTTTATTTCAGGCCGATAAGTCCCTTCCACGTCTGAATAAAGCAACCGACATTCAAATTTCACATACATTTCAACAAGCTTCTTCAGAATTCGCGTTCATTAAAAGAGATATCGTCAAAATCATAGGTAATATGGCATATGAAAACAAGATCGTTCAAGATGAGGTTCGCAAATTAGGTGGAATTCCATTAATATTAAATCAATGCAATATTGATGATAATAACCCATGTGAGCATTAATTTTTAAAATATATCATTTCTTTCATTTGTTAAAGTCATTAAAAAAAACGTATATATTAATAGATATTCGGGAACATGCGATCTTTGCTATACGGAATATTTTAATTCACAATCCTGAAAATCAAAAACTTGTTGAGCAACTTGCGCCAATTGGAACAGTTCAGCATTCAGCCTTACAAGATGTTGGTATTATGACAGAACTTGGAACAGATGGGAAAATAAAGTTCTCATCAACGAAACTTGAAAAATGAAAGTTCTTATTAAATAGCATTAAAAGAAAATTCATTTATTTAATTTATTTAAAATATTTAAATTATTTTATAATCGTGTCACTATGAACTGTATTGTGGTTCATTCACCAACTTTCCTACATATTCATACTTTGCTGAAAAATGATTGAACCAATCCTTTAGACTCTCTTCCTCTTCTGATGTCAAGTCTTCTAAAGTGTCAAGAGGTTGGTCAATTGGAGTGAGTACATCCGTATCAAAAGAATTCTTTGCTAATCCACGGGAAGCATCCCGTCCAGCAAAATTTCCGTAAGGGCCCTCTATAAAAGATTTTGGGTTGGTTAACTGTTAAAATTTCCGTCGAAATTCACGTTTGCATTATATGTACCTGGACCGTAAAAGTTACGTCCTTTGGATACATCATAGACTTGACCACAAACGCCCATATAAATTTTCGTTTGTAGAGTCCTTCCGTCATATTCCCTTAGCTGCTTCGGTGTATATTCTCTAAAAATAGTTGTCTCGGGATGTTTTGCAATTGGTAAGGTGTATGGTGGCGGTGTAAAGTATGAGTAAACGACATAAACAAGAAAACTTGAAAGAAACCAGTTTAGAGGGTTTTCTTGAAGTTGTGTTGAGAGTAATTCCATATGTGTTACCATCTTTTGTCTTGGAAGTGTGTGATACAATAATTTAGAATGATAAAGTTCAAAAATTCCTTTTAAAAATTTAAAAAAATTTGAAAAATTTGAAATATAAATAATATAAATTGAACATTAGACATAAACTCTTTTTTGGTTAGGTATTACCATTTATAACAGCCAGTGAACTTTATGCAGTTAAAATCTAATAAAAATTGGCGCGATTCAGTATTGTCCGTTACTCCATGTGATAATGCTAAGCCTTTTAACGTCCGCAGTTTTCAGTTTAAAAAAAATGGTAAATATAACACAGTCTTATCATTGAAAATCTGTACTTTGAATATCAACTAAAATACACCAACTACCAAATTTATATTATATATGCGAATTTATTATATTGATCATTACGACTTATAAAAATTTCGTCCGTAATAAAGTTCAATAGAAATTACTTTTTTTTTTTTAAAAAAAAAAACCCCCCTCCTCCCCTTTTCAAGTCTCGAATTTTTCACCTTAAAATTTAATAATTTTCAGTATTAAATTATCTTTTTTTTTTGTATTGACTTATTATTCTGAATGAGACTTACGAACGAGTAGAGACTAACGGAATCAACATTATGAGACTGCGCAGATTTGCATTCACCCCCGTGTGCTCATTTTTATTGTGGGCGCTTATTATTTGCACTTTTTTTCTGTTTCCATATGCCAAGTCGAGACTTGACTCAAAAGATCTTATACAATTTCGACCTCCTTTTTACAAACGTTTAGTCAGTGAGGAGGTTAAAACACTTCCACCTAAACTTAACCTAAGCCCCATTAACTTGGTTCTGATTTCAACATTGGATGGCAACCTGCACGGTGTCGACCGATATACTGGCCAAATTATATGGAGTTTAGAAGGTGCCGCCGAAGGTTCCTTGATTAGAACATATACGCGTTCGTCTTCTAAACAACACAATGCTACTAGGAATAAGGAGGAACACGTTGATAATATGAGAGACAAAGAGAAGGATGTCAACGTTGACATGAATTATTCCCACAAACGGGACAAAAATTTTTCCGGAGATCGACAAGATGATTCTCAACTAACAAAATTAAAGGATGATGACGATGATGATTCTGATCGAGAAATTACGTACATTGTTGAACCAACCAATGATGGCATATTGTACTTGTTTTCTCCAAAGACAGGATTGCAGGTAGATACATTCTCAAGAATGTTTATTTATTATATATAGATTTTTTACTATATTTCATTCGTTAGAATTACTTTTCGAGGATATTATTATTTGTTACTTTTTTTGAAAACGGTGTTTTACTTGGGATAATATCATGTGTTCACTTGTTGTTATTATAATACATTATTATTGAAATGACTGTAAATTGAAATGAAAAAAATAGAAATTTCCATATACCGTTAAATATCTCGTGATGAATTCACCATTTCGTTCTGCTGATGGTAAAATATTTATTGTTGGCAGTAAATCAACAAAATTCCTCGCCATCGATCCTGCTACTGGAAAGATCCTTCAATTTTTCAGTAGTGACGGAGAAGAGAAAGAATGTCCGTCTATGGGATCATTGCCTAGAGATGCTATATTTATGGGCATAAATGGTAATTAATTTCTTCGTAATATAATGATGAAAGAAAAAGAAAAAAAAATTTTTTGGTTTATAATTTTCATGTTTGAATTTATTTTCAATTAGTCTATAAAATATCTATCTTCGAGCGTGGCATACCGAAATGGAATACTACATACACCGAATACGTACCGCACAGTTTCGATTTAAAAATTGAGCAATTTCACAAAACGTCACCTGATGATCTATACATCGCGTCAACTCATAATGGGGAAGTTCTTTCTACCGAGTCTTCATCTGGTAATTTTTAATTTCCATTGAATTAGATCTAACATTAGGTTTTATTGAATAAGGAAGGGAATCATCGCTTACATATTATTTTACTTCATTTTATAAGGTCAACATGCTTGGTATCATAAATTTTCTTCTCCAGCAGTTAATGTATTTGACGTGTTGGCATCAAAGGATCTACCAAGTGGTCTACATATCGTAAGACAACCTCGACCTTCCGACACTTACCATCAACATCTGAAAAAATTACACCCTTCTTCTCAACTGGCAGCATATATAGGTGATAACGACGGCACATTATTTGCCATGTCGGTTGAGAATTACCCATTGACACAATTCATTGCTGATTCTTTATGGTTCGATTATTATAACAAACGAATTTCCAGCGATAAGAATAATGAATCACAAGAAAATAGAGTTCTTTGTCGCCCTGGTTCTAGTATATACCCGGCGTGTTTGATTGGAAAGCATAATTTAGTTACTGGGGAACCGCAACGTCCAGGTATTGAAGGCCCTCCGGTCAACTTTAATCCCAACGGTTCCTTGTTTGAACCAGAAGCAAGGTCAATTGCGCAGATTGGTTTGTCTTGGGCCTTTATTTTCTTTATCGTTGCTTGTTTTGTATTTTTGAATAAAGTACTAAGGAATGGAAGTAATCATCAGTCCATCAAAAAAACCATATTGTCTTTCTTAAACTTTAAAACACCGTACGCTGCCAATAATCATGATGCTTCTACGAAAGAACTTTTTAACACCAAACACAATACCAAAAAAGAAATTGGAAAAAAGAAAAAGAAAAATGCTAAAAATCCAACCGTGAATACCAAAAAAACTGAATCAAAAGATGAAGATAAAGGGAAAGTTGCTTTACTCAAAGTTCAATTTCCTAAAGAAGTATTACAAAGCACCGAGGAACTTGAGGATTTTCCGGTTGCCAATCCTCAGTCAGCCACGAGTGGTATAAACTTAACGGAACAAAGTATCATAAATTCAAATGGCGAAATAAAATTAAACTCGTTGGTAGTATCTGACGTAATTTTAGGTGGGTGTCGTTATGCGATATCATTTAATTTATTTAATTAGGTGAGGAAAATCATATTAACCCACCCTCTTTATTAAACAGGTTATGGAAGTCATGGTACAATCGTATATAAGGGAACGTTTGAAGGACGTGACGTTGCGGTTAAACGGTTGTTACTTGATTTTTACGATGTAGCACATCACGAAGTATCACTTCTTCAAGAAAGTGATGATCATCCAAACGTGATTAGATATTTTTGTAAGGAGCAATGTGATAGATTTTTGTACATTGCCCTCGAACTTTGTCCTGCTTCATTACACGACTTAGTTGAAAGGGGTTCGACATTTCAGTATGCAGAATTATTAACTTCATCACACCCTTCAAAGATTCTTTATCAAATCATTTCCGGTTTACATCATTTACATTCAATGAAAATTGTTCATCGAGATATAAAACCACAGAACATTTTAATTTCGCCTTCAAAACATAAGAGAATAACACAAAAGGATGGTGTTTCACAACAGACCGTTCCCGTGAGGGTATTGATTTCAGATTTCGGATTATGTAAAAAATTGGAGGGGGATTCAAGTAGTTTTCATAACACTACAAATAATGCAGGTGGGACTATTGGTTGGAGAGCACCGGAATTGCTTTCACCATCCAACCCGTCTTCACCAGATGGAAATAATAATAATAATGTTGATTCGGTTTGGACATCTGTAGATCGATTGAATGATAATTCATTTACGTCATCATCATCTAATGGATCAGATTATGATAACGGACAACCACGAAGGGTCACAAAGGCGATAGATATTTTTTCGACGGGCTGTTTATTTTATTATGTATTATCGGGAGGCGATCACCCGTTTGGTGATCGTTATTCTAGAGAAATTAATATTTTAAAAGGAGTTTATGAATTAACAAAGTTAGAAGGAATGGGAGAAGAAGGAATTGAAGCAAAAGATTTAATAATGAGAATGATAGAACGAGATCCAAAAAAACGGTATGTTTTTGATGATTTGAATAACAAGAGGAGTAACATCAAAATAAATTTACTAAAGATCCTCTTATCACTTGATTTTCAAGACCAAAAGCGGAAACCATAATGTTACATCCATATTTCTGGTCACCGTCTAAACGCCTTGGTTTTCTCCAGGACGCGTCCGATCGTTTTGAGATAGAGGAAAGAGATCCGCCATCACCATTACTTCAACGATTAGAACAAGGTGCAGTGAATATTATAGGACCAGATTGGTATAAACGAATCGATAGAGTGTTGGTGGAAAATTTAGGCAAATACCGAAAATATGATGGTTCTAGAGTGAGGGATTTATTAAGAGCCTTAAGAAATAAGGTACTTCATCCTTGGAATAAACGATTTCCTCCATAATGATTGATTTTTGTTTAATTTTTCGTTAACTTTTTTTTCTTTTTGCAGAAACATCATTATCAGGATCTTCCTGAACATGTCAAAAGATCTTTGGGTGAAATACCTGATGGTTTCCTTTTTTATTTCACATCAAGATTTCCTCAATTAATGTTGCACGTATATTATGTGATTTCTGAATCAGAAAAACTAAAGAATGAAAGCATGTTTAGGCATTATTTCGATTTACATGGCGAATTTTAAATTTATTTTATTTAATTTCAATAACTATATGGATCGATCACATGATTTTTTTCTTTATAAATAGAATTTAAAAAGCGGGCGTGATTTTATGGGAGAAACAAAATTCTGCGGTAAAAAAGTTATAATTTTTGTAAAAAAAAAAAAAAAAAAAAAAAAAATTGTAATATATCAGAAACTTAAAAAATAAAAAAATAGAAAATCAAATCTAAATTTTCATAAATTTTATTTATAAAAGTAATAATCATTTTATTAAAAATAATTTTTTTTTTTTATTAATATTCTGGATTTACTTTTGTTTTGAATCCACATTTTGAGGAAAAAACGAATCAAGTAAATTAATAGAAAGTTGAGGGACGTTTGGCCAAGAACGTAGACTTCCTTGTTCTTCGTACACGATGAGGAAGAGGGAATTTAAGATTGGGTTCAAGTAATTGACTGATATATGGACGTTTCACCTAAAAAAAAAAAAAATGAAAATGAATGAAATTATTCTTAATAATATAAATTAAGAGAATATGAAATTAGAATATGAATTACTTGAGCATTCTTCAATTCCGCAACACGCATAATTTGAATTGAAGAAAATCGAGCACGATGACGAGCAGCCATATCTTGGTCTAAGATTATATTTTAAAAAGAAAAAAACTCATTAAATAAATCTAAAAACGATAAATCGTAAAACTTTCTTAACTTACAACAAGAATAAACGGCATCAGTTCTAAAATGAAATTGAACAAAATGGGATTAGCATAATGAAGTTAATTAAGAAAAAAAAATTGTGACAACTAATGCTTCAAACCTGGTCATTTCCCGATATTCCTTATACATATTATGTGTGCCAGAACGAGAATCATAACGAAGCCATATTCCGAAATTTTTAATTTGAAGAGGTCTTTTTTCAAAGATCTGAATTAAATGTGACGTGATTAAAAAAAAAAGAGAACACAAATAAAATCAATTGACTTCCGACTTAAAACATACCTCATTGATAGAAACAATTTCACCAGCGGCTTTTTTCACCTTTTTGAGTTTTTTAAGGAAGTACCAAAACCTACTTTTCGCAACAACTTCATTAGGAGCAAAAAGTCTCATACGATAAAGTCTTGGAATAGTGTCTTTTTTGCTTGGAAGTTTACGACCAACTACTTGATACTCGTGAAACTATAGCAATTTGTAAAATGATAAAAACAAAAATATTTCATATCCATCCCCAATCAAATTAATTTAAAGAATAGTTTATATGATAAGAAATCTAATCATTATTACTTACTCTACCCATGTTGGCGATGGATATGGATGTAATGAAAAGAGAGAGAATCAAGATTAATTTAGAGAGAGAATTTTATACCAAAAAAAAAAGTTAATCACGTGTATAATTTAAAAAAATAAATTTTTTTTTTTGTGTTAGATAATCTGCATTTTTTCGGCTTTTTTTTTTTGGTTTAGGAATTCTTTAATAAAACAAATGTTTGCCTTTCGTATTATTCGCCCTGTTGTGGTTAATACCACCCAGAGGTATGCTTAAGTTAATTTTAGAGGGTATTTAGAATTTATTTCCTCTAAAAATTTTACCTCGAGATTTTTTTTTACTTCCAAAAATTATCATATCGTTTAAAATTATTTTTCTTGAATCGATTGGTGGTCATTCATTGGCTTTAGCTTCGGGTGTCAAAGCCGTAATTATGCTACTTTAAAAGAAAGTAAGTTTATTTACGATGATTATCATTACCGTTAACATTTTGTTAAAAAAAAATAAAATTATGGTTTATTTAAAACATTATTATTAGTTCAATTACGGCTAAAGTCGGTTAACAGTATTGCAAAGGTACTCTTTTGTTGCTTCATTAAAATGTGTATATATATATATATATTACTTATCATTAATTATTTTATATCAATTCGATTTTAAAAAAAGATTACAAAATCGATGAAAATGATTGCGTCGACAAAGATGGCACGGTACGTTTATATAAGGGATTTTATTAATGGAATTGTATCAATATTTAATTAAATAAATTTTAACAAATTAAAGAGCTCAAAGGGCAATGGAAGTTGCAAGAGTATTTGGTAATACTCAAACAGGTGAGAATACTTTTTTGTTTTAACATTTTTAAAATTCAGATTTTTTAATTTAATAGATTTCTTCTTTTTTTGCATGTATAGCTCTTTTCACTCATGCTGATACAAAACAAGCAGAAGGTGGAAATACCTTAGTTATCACAGTTTCATCGGATAGAGGACTTTGTGGTGGTATTCATAGTAGTGTATCCAAATATTCGAGAAAAATTATTGAAGAGAATCCAAATTCTCAAATAGTTGTATTAGGCGATAAGGCAAAAGCTCAACTTTCACGTTCTGTACGTGAAAATATTATACTTTCTTTTAATCAAATTGGAAAAGCTATCCCTACTTATAATGAAGCAAGTTCTATAGCTGATACTATTTTAAAAGAAAAGTTTGAATTTGACCAAGCCGATATTGTATATAATTATTTTAAATCTGTCATATCTTATGAGGCACAAACTATTCCCGCTTTTTCTGTATCAACTTTTTCAAAATCTGGTAATTAAAGATTTTATATAATGTTTATTTATTTATACAAGATAAACCTTTTAATCTATTTTAATTAATCTCTAGGTAATATTGATGCCTATGAAGTCGAGGATGATGTTTTGGAAAATTTACAAGAATTCGCCTTTGCAAATTCCATTTATTGGGGCCTTGTTGAAGGTCATGCCGCTGAAATGGCTTCTAAACGAAGTGCTATGGAAAATGCTACCAAAAACGCTGGTGAAATGATTGAAAAACTCACAATGACATATAATCGTGGTCGTCAAGCCGCCATTACTAATGAATTGGGTAAGAAAGGGTGTCATTTTCCTCTACAATAATACTTTACGTGAATTTAACCTAATTATTCATTTTTTCATTTTTTTTTTTTTACTAGTGGATATTATTACTGGAGCGTCCGCTATTTAAGTTATATAGACATTTTGTAACCTCATTAAAAATTCTTTTTTTTTTTTTAAAAAAAAAAAAAAAGAAAGTCAAACATGCAGAATGCTAGGAATAAATTATATTTGTCATTTCTGTTTTCTGTTTGAATTTATTTATTTCACCTATTAGGTAAAAATGCAACTTCAAAATAAAGAGTAAAGAATTAAAACAAGATATCAGCCTTGAACCAATCATACAAAGGAATTCCTTCTTGAGATTTAAGAAAACGCTCGTATTGAGAAGTTTGATATTCCTCCCTTTCCTTTTCATATCTTTCTTTGTCTGCTTTTGCCATATCTTCCCACATTTTCTTTTCAGAGAACACCAATTGTTTCCATTTAATATTAAAGCTTTTGTTAAATTCTGTTTGTCGAGCTTGTAGGCCATTTTTATACTTACTATCAAAATTGGTAGCTCTTTGGTAATGATCGCATGCACCTATATAAGGTACTGGCACTTGGAGACTGTATCGTTTATCTTGTTGAAATTGTTGTACGTTACGAGGTTTATGATCATTTTCTTCATTGGAACAGTTCATATTACGTGGATGAAATGGTTTGGTTGATGATAAATAAAATGTGTCCCTTTTACATTCATCAGGTGATGCTACGTATGCATGATCATTTTCTTTGTCGTAAGGTTCGACCAAGAATTGTATTTCAAGAGGTTTATCGCATTTTTTTGAAGGTTTAGAAGCAATTGTTTGACCATTTTGTATATTTTCTTGAGTGAATGAAAGAATGCGTGTGTGAGCTGAAATGTTTTTTTGATATGAAGACTGTACGTCCAATTGAGTGTCACGATGTTCTGAAACGACCTCTTCAAAATCAGGAAGGTCCTTTTTAGTCACAACTTCACTTTGACGTGTCGTATAAAGTGGGGATATTGTAACCAATTCCCCATTCTCAACATTATTTTCATACATTTTAAATGGTTGTATCCAAGATTCACTGTGGGAATCTGTAGGAACTTGAACCGTTTCAAGATGTTGTGATTTGTTATGATAATTATATGTATGAATTAATTCTTGAATATAACTTTGATTGGATTCACCAATTTCGGAACCTTCTTCAGTATTATTAAACAAATCATCAAAATCGTTGTCGGTTGAGTCATTACTATCAATATTTGAAACAAGACGTTCGTAACCCTCATAACTTTGTTCAGCCATCTTTACCCAAGGAGCTCGAAGTTCCGGTGACATATTATTCCAATTATCTAGTAACACTTGTTTAACACCTTCAAGATTCATGTTAGGATAAACTCGCAACAAACTTGGTGTACCATCAATTACATAATGTGCAAATGCGTTTGATGGTTGTTCTAATGAATCGACTGACAACGTAGATGATGAATTGGTATTTGAATCATATTGATATGATCCTTGCGTATAAATGTTATAATCTGACACATCCTCGTCACTTTCTTCGCTTTCTTTAAAAGATAAGAGATGTCTCGATTTTTTGGATGGATAGCGCATCTCTTTCAATTTCACAACTAAATCATTTACATGTTCAAGTTGCACGCCTTTTTCGCACTTGTTTATCATAAACTTGGTAAGATACTTGATTATAAATAATACATAAAACATCAATATATTTTATCCATAAAATGCAAACCTCGCTGAGTCGCTCCCAATTCAATTCTTTAGCTTTCTCAGAATATTCATTTTTCTTTTCCTTTATTATGATAAACAAAGTTTATGAGTGTATTGTTTATAATAATACAGTACATAAATAATATAAACCTCCGACAGACTTCTCCACTTATTAGCGATCGTTATGGAAAGTTCCCTTGCAGATATTTCTGGATACTTTTCCAAAATTTCAAGTCTTTGCTCATCGTTATGAAGTAAGTAACCATATACAGGACTTTCTACAGAATCTTCATAATTGCGTTTAAAAGTTTCAAATAACTCCATTACTATTATTTAAGGCCTTAAAAATGATTTTTATTTTATTTTTATTATTAATATTTCGATGAGAATTTAACCTATATTTGTTCTAAAACATTTACGTGTTTTAACGCGTCATAAGGACATAACTATACGTAGAATTTCATCATCTGGATAAACTACTTGATATATTTATTGCAAAAGCACGAAGAATAAAAAGAAGTTCGCAAAAAAAAAAACGGTAGTTTTGGATCGGAAGATGATTGGTTAAAACGAATCCGCTGAATTAAAATATTTATTTTATAAAAGAATGATAATTGGGTCACAAGTCATAATAGATCTAATTACTTTTATGATTAAACTTTAATTAACTAAAATTTTTTTTTTTTAAAGTGCGGTAGCTTCGCATAATCTTTATAAATGTAAGTAAAATTTATAAAATACAAAACAAGAAAAGAAAATACAAAAACTTCTAGATATCCTAAACTAGTTAAAATAAATCAAAGTCAACCCTGCACCGCTCTAGACTAATAACCCAATCAGAAGAAAAGGAAACTCAACCATCCAGAGAATAGAGCTTGGTTGCTACCTGTCCAAAAATTTGACCAGTTGGTACTATACTTAAAGGAGGAGATAAAGGAGAAAGGGGTAATTGAGATGTCATGAGAAGAGTGTAAAAAGCCACTAGAATTCCAATTGTTCTGTGGATATGTTAGCTAATTTTTCTGCTTGAATAAATGATTCGCATCTTTCTTTTCAAATTTGGGATGTGGAAATAGATATGTGATGGAAAATATGAGATAGTAGTGAGGTAGTAATAGAGGAATTATTGGTAATAGAATGGATCAAGTCAATCATTTCAGATGGGACAATGCCTTTAATAAGGTCAATGAAACAAAATTTGTTGTCATGATTGATGTTTCAAAAAGGGGCTGTCATCAAATTGCAAATAGTCATTGGTATCGTATCTTAACTATTAGCAAGAAGTTGCAATTGTTGAGAAAGATCCAGTTTTGTAGAATCGATAATGTTGATTAAAGTAAGAGATGAATTTGAACAAGTCCAGATGTGATTAAAGTCTTCAGAAATGCTTTGATATCTATAGCAAATCCAATTTTGTTGGTATAAGTTTGGATGTTTTTACTTTAAAACCTTAAGAGAAGGGAGCATTTCTAACATGAATTTGATCTTTTGTTTTTTTATATAAGATGCTTAAAAGAACGTAGAAGATTTTGCTTCATTATCATGTAATAGTTGAAAGATAATATTCCAATCAACCTTCAAGGGGTGATATTTGAGAAAATGTGAAAGGTTAATTGCATCATTAAAGCATCTTGATTGTAGGAGGTCTTTGATTACTTGTCTTAGAGGTAGTAATACAGGTTTATCCTGTAAATAAGCATGATTTTTGAATTAAAGGCATTAAAATTAAACTTGATTTTGGATCCATCAGTTTTTGTCAATTAATCGACTTGATTATTAAGAGTGTCGTCATTATATGCTTTTACTTTATGCATTTTTAGGGTAATATGTTTAGTATTAATTATATCAAATAGATAGAGTCAGATAGGATAGTAGAGTAGTTTGAAAACTGGATGGTATATAAGGAAAGAGGCTAGAAAAAATTTGGTTTTGTTGAAGGTAGCAATGACAGAAAAGGAGTTAGTGAATATTGTAGTATACGAGTTTGAAAGGATTACATAAAGAGTGGTAATGATAGCCATTAATTCAGCAAGAGTAGATGATGAATTGTGAAGATAAAAGGAGGAGTAAAAAGAAATTAATAACCATTGGGAATCAGTTTGCAACTAAGCTAAACCCATCTAAATAGTAGAGAGATCAAGATTTCTGAGAGAGCCATCTATATAAAAAGATAGAAAAATTGCATTGATAAAATGAGAGGCTAAATTAGTTAGTTGAGTCATTGTATTATAGTCAAAAATAGAAATATTATCAGGAACGTCTATAAAAGATGGAAGTAAAAAATAGTTATTAGACAATATTAACAAATTTAAAGCTATTTCATATAACATTAAAGGAAATAAGAAATATAAGTGTCTGATATTATTTTTAGCTTTCAGGGTAATTTCTGAATATAAAGTAAAGGATTTTTGAAATAACATAAGGACCGTCTTCAAGGCATCTTTTTATGTAGACGTATTGTTTAATCATTGAGAAGATATCCAAAACAAGGATCAAAGACAGTTCTACAATGCTCGTTTATTGTTATGGTAAAGTGTTGAATATGTGCTGTTTCTTGGTCAATAACAAGGATTCTTCCTATAGTTGAATTGTTTAATTGTAGTGATCAGATTGTAGCATAAGTAGTTCTTTTGATATTAATTGTGAGTATACATTGAACAACATAAGAGGGTGTTTAATTTGGAGGGAGCATGAATAATACATGTCTGTCGGTTAGCAATTACAGCAAATTCTATGATGTCATATCACTTTAATCTTCTTTTTAGAACGGAAGATTTTAGGGTTTGAGAAATGTCACAGAAAAGTAATAAGTATTCTCCGTTTGATATAATAAGTTAAGATAAGAACATTAGTTTTTTTTTTAAGATATCTTGAGACTTTTTTATAAATATGTAAGTCGATTAGATTCACAATAGGTTATAAGCCTCCTTTTATGATATTGGAATCAGAACATTGAATACCAAACAAAAAATTCAGGGTTTTCATGATTGATAATATTAAAAACCACCAGTCTTTAAATAAGAAGGGTTAGAAAATGGTCAGCTGTAGAATAGGGATGATAGAAGCTATTCATAATTTTGAAAATAAGAGACACAGATTCTTGTTGTTTTTCTAAGTAATCCTGGATCATTAATATTCTTTTGTATGTTAAAAATTTTGAATTGCAGTTGTTGATTATACAAATGAGTTAAATTGTAAATTTTTGAGGAGTGGATTATAGCCTGAGGGATACTAATTGATAAATGTAATATTGATTTAAAGGCTTTTCGAAAAATGCTCATGACCATATTGTAGAACTAAAAAGTCAAATAAATCATTTGTATTTTATACAGAATTCTTGGGATAATGATCATGTTGAATATGGATACTAATTGTTATCTGTTAGTTTTTCTTTTTCATTATTGTGGTGGATGTAGCAATTTCATCTTTCATTTGTTGATAAATAAATTTCTTATTCTGAGAAATTGAAATCCAGATACCTAAATAACGAATTGGGATCTTAAAATTATTTGGTTATATTCAGATGTTATTATTAGTTAGTTCAAAGTTAACTTAAGGTAGTGTTGGAAGGGATATAAATAACAGAGATTTATTCCAGTTAACTTTAATATCATTTAAGTTGTAAAAATTATTAGCAATTAAAATGATATCATTGAGGTCATCTTTTGTTTTGCTTAACCAAAGAGTATTGTCCATATATGGGAGGCGGTCAGTAGAAAAGGTGGAAATCTAAATTTTGGTCAAAATTTATATTATTAGACCACTTGGATAATCTTGATTATGTGCACAAATTTGGCTTAATAATAAAAATTAACAAAAATTTTGAATTTCCCTTTTTCTACTGACCGTCTCCCATATGCTAAACAAGAAATATGAGTTTCAATAATCTTTGGTGGAAGAAGATCAGTTATGTTAGAAAGTATATAAGACTTTAAGTTATACTCTAGTATAGATTGCTGAATTCTTACCAATAAAGGGTTATAGTAGATATATCATGAAATAGGAGAGATAATTTTACCCTGATCTATACCAAAGATCACCTGATATTCATTTGTATTACTATGTACTATAAATACTTGATTAAAACATAAAGAAAATAAAGATCGAATAAATTTGCAAAAACTGAAAGGAAGGTGAAGACGCATTAAAGCTTTTTGAAGTATAGTCATATTAATGCAATCATATGCTTTTGACATATCTTGAAAAAGAACCAGAGCTATTCATGATTTTGATTTTTGTGATCATATATAAAATTGTCAAGAATATGGATAAGTTCAAAGGTAAATCGAAAGGGTAATCCTGCAAAATTATTATTTTTTAATACGTTATTAGTAAATAAAATATATAAAAGTCTTTTGTTAATAAGTTTTACTAAGGGCATTCTAACAGCATGATAAGTCATGTGTTGTTTAGATTAAATTTCCAGGGTTTTGGTTTGGCAATAGGATATACATAGGTAAGGTTCCAAGCATTAGGTGTGAGCGACAGCTTTAAACAATCACATATAAATATCCATAAGGCTTTAGTTATATTAAGGCCAAGATGCTTTAGAAGTTCATTCAAAATTTTTGAAGGACTACAGGTCTTGTTATTTGAAAGAAATTTTATTATAGATGACCATTCTTCTTCTGTTAATTCATTTATAAATCCTTATATATAGAGAAATCGATATTATGTAGAGGTTTGTAAAAGAATACTCATTCACTTAGTATGTCGTTAGGAGCATTTTGGAGTCTAGCAGTACAGTTAACTCTTTCTATAGCGAATTTTGATATAATGAATTTCACGATATAACAGATCTACAGTGTAATACAGATTTTAAATATAGAAAAAACCTTTTTTTTTTTTTTTTACGATGTGGCACTGCCAGTAACTTTATTATTTTATAAAAGAAATACAAAAAGTAAAACTAAATACAAAGAAAAAAGAAAAGTACTAGCTATCCTCCATGATTATTTTACAAACCTGTTTGAATCGACCAATCATCGTCTTTTCCCTCCAACAGACCCACTAAATATATATCTAATGACTACTATTATCACCAGAAAAGAAAAAAAAAGAGTCAGTGCCTATCTAAAAATCTGAAAAAGTGTTACCATATTTATTTGCCATGTGAATCCATGTTTCCCAAGCACTAGGTACATGATCATCAGTTGAGTGAGCAAGCGTTGAGATCGCCCCTTTCTTGAATTTATCCTTTTTTGTGATATCGAGAGATTGTTCTTTGTCGATTATAAGTTTACAGTAAGGTTTTCATATTTTCTCAAGGAGTTCTTTGAGAAAGAAAGAGGTAAGTTGGGTGACAATCGAAAAGCATTTTGATT